TCTCCAAGTAGGGTCCAGATAGGAAATCTGGAGAGCCTTGCTGTTATATATAATAAGGCCATCAATCTCCTGGTCGACGGAGGCCTGGTCGACGACCGGGCCGCGGGGACACTAAAGCCCTGAAATCATCTCAAGATAACCTCAAGATAACGTCTGGTAGCCCCCAGACACCAGATAACCCAGGGAGGCTGGCCAGGATGCTCCCCGTGTCCCCCGCCGCCCTGGCAGCGTGTCCCCTCCGGTTTGATCTACGACGTGTCTTCAGCAATGGGCGGAGGCCCTCATAAAAGAGCGGTATACACCAGTGTGATAACTGCTAGCAGACCAGGGCAGGATCTCCAGGCTCATCGTGTGCATGGAGAGGGAGAGGGGGTGGAAATGGGTGGAAGCTAGGGGACACAGGGAGGGAGAGAGGGGGCAGGGAGGGGGAGAGGGGGCAGGGAGGGGGAGAGGGGGCAGGGAGGGGGAGAGGGGGCAGGGAGGGGGAGAGGGGGCAGGGAGGGAGAGAGGGGGCAGGGAGGGGGAGAGGGGGCAGGGAGGGGGAGAGGGGGCAGGGAGGGGGAGAGGGGGCAGGGAGGGGGAGAGGGGGCAGGAAGGGAGAGAGGGGGCAGGGAGGGGGAGAGGGGGCAGGGAGGGGGAGAGGGGGGCAAAGATAAAGTGTGCGTATGTGTACTCACCTAGTTGTACTTACATGGGGGGTTGAGCTTCAGCTCTTTTGACCCTGCCTCTCAACCGTTAAGCAACTAGAAAAAGCTTCCAAAGTCTGCTTCCACCACGTCAACTGAGAATTATTGAAGGTGGTAATCGCGTTTACCTAAACTTTTCTGACTTTAGTTTCCTTTAGTGATATTAGACGTTTCCTTACTGCCTTTATTATTTCCTCAATATCTGATATTCTCTCCCCTAGGGTAACCACCTCTCAACACCACCGGGAACTGTTCAAGTTCAATTGTGAACACTCCATGGAAGCTGTCATTAAGTTATCTTGAGGTTATCTTGAGATGATTTCGGGGCTTTTTAGTGTCCCCGCGGCCCGGTCCTCGACCAGGCCTCCACCCCCAGGAAGCAGCCCGTGACAGCTGACTAACACCCAGGTACCTATTTTACTGCTAGGTAACAGGGGCATTCAGGGTGAAAGAAACTCTCCCCAATGTTTCTCACCGGCGCCTGGGATCGAACCCAGGACCGCAGGATCACAAGTCCAGCGTGCTGTCCGCTCGGCCGACCGGCTCCCTATAACTTCCTCACAAATTTAAATTTTTTTTGTATATTCACCTCCCGCTTTTCTTAATATAGTCACCTGGACGTTCACTATCATTGTCCTTATTATACGAGTCTTATTATAGCTGTGTACTAGTTACTAGCCCTGTCGCATCTATTCCAGTTTTCAACTTTTTTTTAACACCTGTTTTTCATTATCTACTCCTTTTCGTCGCTTGGCACTGTCTATGGAAGTGCTATTAGATCCCCTACATGGATACTACCCTTTGATCCCCTACACGCACAACTAGGTGAGTACAACTAGGTGAGTACAACTAGGCGAGTACATACTTGATCGAGAACAACGGAACGAAATTTAGAACAGAACTGGTTGAGGTGTAGAGGTGCCACAGGCACAACCAGAGAACACTGAACATCAGAGGGCCACAGCTGTTCTACACTCTTATTGGATAGCCATCTGAGATCTAGACGAGCCACAGGGATGTGACCAAATAGGAATTTAGAGAAATTGCAGTAAGCGAAGTGAATTAGATAGGAACACTGGCGGCATACGTCACAGCTTCAAGATCTGAGTCACAATGAGTCAAGAGCCATTGCATAACACGGCCGTCAGGTGAGGCAGGACCCAATAGCTAAAGCCCAGCCATGTAAAACTAGCTAAAGTGTACGTATGTGTACACACACACACACTAGGCAGTGATTTAAATTTTTTTAAATTTTGCCCCGAGGGGCGAGTTTATTGGGCAGCGCCACTCATCTTGTAAGTGAACAGACCGCCATAGCAGAATGTACAACACTCCCCAATAGGAAGAAAACCCGCTGGGTTGTTCATCCTGTCACTTGTACCCAGACACAGCTGGGACTTGCTTAACTGTCTCAAGTGAACAGCTCCTCAAACAAGAAGATTAACAGTGATGTGGTGGAGGTTGACTCCATACACAGTTTCAAATGTCGAAATGACAGAACCCAGTAGGCTCAGGAACCTGTACACCAGTTGACTGACAGTCGAGAGGCGGGACCAAAGAACCAGAGCTCAACCCCCGCAAGCACAATTAGGTAAGTACACACCCCCACACAGGGGGTGGAGGCCTGGTCGAGGACCGGGCCGCGGGGACACTAAAAAGCCCCGAAATCATCTCAAGATAACCTCAAGATAACCCCACTCACTTGGAAATGCTACCATTTTCTTTTTCATCCCTGCATGATCCGGCCAAACTACATCCGTTCTTAATGACATGACCGCTAATCAGGCGAATGATAACTCCTCAAACCGTGGCCACCCTTCCCTCTCATGTCCTACCAGCCTCCTCATCATTTCACCGGCTCCCTCATCATTTCCTCAGCCACGCACATCAGTACTCGCGTTCACAACTCCGTCCAGGATCATCCAGAATGGTGATTAGGTTCCGTTTTTCACCCGTGGACAACGATTCCCATCAGCCCTGAACAGGAAACTAGGTTGCTTATTGAGCAAGTACCGTGGTCTTACTCTTCACTGTACTTGAATCCACTACTACACCACACACACCTGTACTTGCCACCCCCACTACACCACACACACACCTGTACTTGCCACCCCCACTACACCACACACACCTGTACTTGCCACCCCCACTATACCACACACACAGCCCAAAAGCCTCAGGAACCTGTACACCTGTTGATTGACGGTTGAGAGGCGGGACCAAAGAGCCAGAGCTCAACCCCCGCAAGCACAACTAGGTGAGTACAACTAGGCGAGTACACACACCTGTACTTGCCACCCCCACTACACCACACACACCTGTCTCTCACACATGTGTATTTTCCACCTAGGATAATGCCTCTTCTACACTACCCTTCCACACCTGTATCCTGTATTTACCGCTACACACACGTGCCTACAACACCTGCCTTCCCTAGTTCTTGCTACTCTCGACGTCTTCTGTTCCAGGTATCTCTTACCTGGTACTCTGCGCCACCTGCAGAGCTGCCAAAGTCAAGAATCAGCCGCGACTCCCGACATTAACTGCCCCGTAACTTCCAGATTTGTGAAGGCTCTCCCCCCCCCCCCACCCCCCTCCAGACACAGTGGTCAGGGGAGGGGGGGGGGGTAAGATTAAGGAGAGGATGGGGGAGCTGGGAATAGAAGGAGGAGGGAGGGGGGAGAGAATGAGAGAGAATGAGAAAGGAAAAACAGAGAAAGGAAAAACAGAGAAAGGAAAAAAAAGGAAAAAAAGAGAAAGGGAAAAAAAAGGAAAAAAGAGGAGAGAGAAAGGGAAAAAAAAGGAAAAAAGAGAAGAGAGAAAGAGCGCAAAAAATACCACACAAAAAAGAACGCGCAAAAGAGCTCTCAAAAAAGAACGCGCGTCAAAAGAGCGCGCAAAAAAAGGAGAAAGCGCGCGAAAAAGAGAGATCGCGCGCGCTTAACAGCACAAGAGAGAATACCCAGCAGACTTTTCCGTCCAGTGTAAACTGTTGGTCCACTTTAGAGGTCGTCACATAATTAATGACCTGCTCTCCTCCACCGCCGAAACTCGTCAATACTCGACGCGGGTTTAGCCGGGCTTCAAGCACCACCACAACACAGCCACGGTGTTTAATGCCAATATCGCTTAATAATCCGGGGGTTAGATGAACAAATCCACAGGGGCCGTGACGAGGATTCGAACCTGCGTCCGGGAGCATCCCAGACAGGGGTTAGATTCACGAAGCAGTTACGCAAGCACTTACGAACGTCTACATCTTTCCTCAATCTTTGACGGCTTTGGTTACATTTATTAAACAGTTTACAAGCATGAAAACTTGCCAATCAACTGTTGTTATTGTTATAAACAGCCTCCTGGTGCTTCGGAGCTCATTAACTGTTTAATAATTGTAAACAAAGCCGTCAAAGATTGAGGAAAGATGTAAGTGTTTGCGTAACTGCTTCGTGAATCTGGCCCCTGGGTCCTTAAAAATACCTTCTTAATGCGTTCGCTGTTTAACGAAGCTTACTCTACCGTAAATCGACTTTAACCTGGAATTTATGTATAAATTTATGCATAAATTTATACATAAATTTATAATTTATGTATAAATTCCAGGTTTCAGGCTTAGCAATTATTTAAGTTTCATCATTTCTGACAAAAATAAATTCCTATGAGGGTAACTAATAGCACAAGTTAAATCATTTGTGTACACCAGGGTTAAATAAAAGTAATTATTTGTTAACACATCTCCAGCTTTTTCAATGTGCTTCTGATAGAACTTCAGACTAAAGCCTTAATCATGTCTGAGAACAAGAGCTTCCATTAAGAGCAGGGCCTCATCAGACGAGATTTAGGCCTAACAACACAAACCATTAACATGTTAACACACTTGCAAAGAATACCTGATTGACTGGTCTGACTGCGAGCAGGGAGGTCCAACAGCCTGATTGGGCAGACCACGAATCAAGCGGCCTAGTGAGAAACCGGGCAGCGGGGACATTGATCCTCGGAACCACCTCAAGGAACCACCCGACATCCCCACCAGTTATAAAAAAAATTTGCAATGACGCAAAAATAGCGTTGTATTGCGTCCAGTGCCATAGGCATTGTGAAGAACACTGGGGCATACCTGGAGTGTGTTCTAGGTGTTCTACTCCCCAAGCCCAACCTGAGGCCAGGCTCGACTTGTGATAACTTGGGTCAACAGGCTGTTGCTTAGAGCGGCCCGCAGGCCCAGGCCACAGCCCGGTTGGTCCGGCACCGAGGCGACGAAGGCGGACATCAAGCAGTACAAGTCTTCCTGCCGTGAGGACAATCTGGAGTACTTACCCTGGTTGTAGTGAGGACAAAGATGTGTCCTCCCGAGGCGTCGAGGACCATGTCTGGGAGGACGCGGCTGCTGGCGTCTATGGCGTCCTCTCCGTACTCGGCGGCGTCCTCTGGGCCCGCCAACAGCGCCTGCAACAGATAAAATGCCATCTTCTTAAACCTCCATTAACAAGACAATCACATATGCGCACTTAATACAATCCATAAATTATTACAAAAATACAATTAAGATAATTAACAGAGGGTACGTGCTATGCTTATCCTGAAGGAGCCAACCCCCATCATGCAAGACAAGACAATTAAATCTTAATTATACACCTCTATCTACATGCTAATAATTAATTATATATTATATATATATGCAACAATGATCACAAAAACAGATCCAAGTATGCAGAATAATCACATATGAAAAATAGAAAATGCTTAATGCGTTTTCGGCTAATTCGCCTTCATCAGAGCAAAGTAGAATCATTCTACTATCATATATTATATATATATATATATATTATATATATATATATATATATATATATATATATATATATATATATATATATATATATATATTATATATATATATATTATTCGCAATTAAATAAATGTCAGGCCAAAAGACATAATTTTGGATAGACCGCTACCCAAAAGATGGTGTCGGAATGGTGTCAGGTTTTAGAGCGGTGAGAACAATGAATATGTTACACCCATACAGTGCGTGGAGTGACCGCACCTGGCTATAATGAGGGCGACACTCACGCCTCAACTACACACCCTCCCTTATCACCTTGGCACCACGAACAATGAGGTCTACGCGTACCCAGATGTATACTCCGTATACCCCAGTTGTTCAGCCCGCCGGGCTCGTCAAGCCTGGCCTCGGGCCGGACTTGGGGAGTAGAACAACTCCCCAAGCCTGGCCTCGGGCCGGACTTGGGGAGTAGAACAACTCCCCAAGCCTGTCCTCGGGCCGGACTTGGGGAGTAGAACAACTCCCCAAGCCTGTCCTCGGGCCGGACTTGGGGAGTAGAACAACTCCCCAAGCCTGTCCTCGGGCCGGACTTGGGGAGTAGAACAACTCCCCAAGCCTGTCCTCGGGCCGGACTTGGGGAGTAGAACAACTCCCAAAACCCTATCAAGTCCCACTACACTCGAATGAGAATAAAATGCATCAGCATACAGTAGATACAAGTCCGCCAACAGTAGGGACCTGAAGCTTGGACGAGTCGAAGTCTCATTCTTCGTGTCATGTGTCTCATTCTCTGCGGTGTCATCACTCGCTGGAGACTTGTGGTCTCAGGTCGGCAGACGCAGTCAAAACCATGAAAGTTTTGTTGTTGTTCACACCCCCTTGTGTCGTCGCAAGATGGGTCAGGTGAGGAGGGGACACTATGCGACCCACACCGCTCACAGGTGCGTGTCAGGTGACATGAAGGTGACAAGGGTGTCACCTGATGCATGTGTGGGGGGGGGGCCCTACACTGGACCTACCCACCCCGGTAACCCACCCACCTATTACTCAGGCTGTGGTAACGATTTATCGATTAAATTCACCTTTACAGCTTCCCAATTAACGTTTTTTTCTCCATTTTCTGTTCAGTAACATCTTTCTCAAACTATACCATTTACAATGGCTTACCTGTGAGGAGTCTTCCATTTAAGACACTTCCCGGAGCAGCCAGAGGCACTTCGGCTGTGGTCATGTATATAAAAGTTGCATCTAAGCTCCATCTAGGTCACATCCCGCCAAACACACACCGAAACTACGACGTTGGTACAACGTTCGAACAAGTTTTAACACCACCTAACTAATTATAACAACCAATATAGCAAGTTGTAACAACGTTCTAATACGTCATAAACACGTTAAGCCAAGGTGTAACAACTTTATTACAAGTTGTAACAAGCGGAAAATAGAGATAGTTTCGGTTTGTGTTTCCAGGGTTGCACTCTAGTAGTTGGTTTAATTCAACCATAACAAAATAATTTGTTTTAAAGCGCCGACCTTCACTTCCTGCTTGCAAGCGCTCACGCATCACGTTAAGGCGATGCTGGCAAGTAGAGTGAACATTACAAGAGTCACTAACTTCCTTGCAAGACCCATGCACCAGGACAAGGCTAAGGGGATTCGTCTTGAGCTTCGGTGCACCTCTAGCAATGTCTCCAAGCTTACTGTTACGTTAGAGAGCGTTTTCAAAGTTCCCACCTGGCCTAACTTGGTGGACCAGACGGCTACTACAACACAAGGCGCTCAGCGAGCACCAGCTCCACCCTCGATGCCGTTCCCACGAACATCGATGTGATGATTTTCATCACTAACGTATGAAACATGACCTCACAACCTGCAAATCTTCAAGGAATCAGGTCCACTGATTATGTGAAAGCTTTAGTCTTCAGAGTGTTCTAGCTCTACCCTGTATTCCTTGTGGATACAGTCATCCTTTTAGATAATTCGATTTAAAGTTGTAAATGTAAATATAATTAAAACCGTGAGAACTGTCATTGCATTAATCTAAGAACGTTCAGAAGGCAGAGCTTCGAGCCTTATCTATCTTGAGGTTATCTTGAGATGATTTCGAGGCTTTTTAGTGTCCCCGCGGCCCGGTCCTCGACCAGGCCTCCACTCCCAGGAAGCAGCCCGTGACAGCTGACTAACACCCAGGTACCTATTTTACTGCTAGGTAACAGGGGCATAGGGTGAAAGAAAAACTGCCCATTGTTTCTCGCCAGCGCCCGGGATCGAACCCGGAACCACAGGATCACAAGTCCAGCGTGCTGTCCGCTCGGCCGACCGGCTTAGCTGGAGTTTGTTACACAAATATACGTTTAATATAATTTGTGTATATTTCGCACAAAGCAACAAGTAAATGCCTATAATTTTGTCAAGCTAAGGTTCAGTAGGGTTCCTGCAACACCTCACCCCCGAGGACCAATTATACGCCGTCCCACCACCATCTCTGTTCAACCGCTATAATCTTCTTTCGTGTAGCAGACCATTGCCCTCTTAAAGAGACCCCCTGGGCCGGCGGCGTGTGTTAAATGAGCCACGACTTAATAATGCATTCAGGTGGTCCACTAGCATGATTAATGTAGTCGTGTGCCCTCAGCCAAGCCATCCATCTCTGGTACAAGCCCCTTCCCCCCCCCTTAAACAACCACCATCCCCCCCCCTACCACCACCCCCAACGACCCTCTTAGTTCCGTCAACAACATAATTTGGTAAAATCAATAACGTCCTGGAGGCAAAGAACTAGAACAAAGAACAAAGAACCTACTGTACTGTTGTGGAGTGGTTATCATAATGCTTCAAATCCAGCTATCTAATGCGGCCGCTTCCCGTCCGGTCGGCCGAGCGGACAGCACGCTGGACTTGTGATCCTGTGGTCCCGGGTTCGATCCCAGGCGCCGGCGAGAAACAATGGGCAGAGTTTCTTTCACCCTATGCCCCTGTTACGTAGCAGTAAAATAGGTAACTGGGTGTTAGTCAGCTGTTACGGGCTGCTTCCTGGGGGTATAGGCCTGGTCGAGGACCGGACCGCGGGGACACTAAAGCCCCGAAATCATCAAGATAACCTCAAGATAACCTCCACCCCTCCCTTCCCCCTTCCAGATCGTCCCCTTGGCCAGTAGTGGCTATCCCCGCTGCCTAGGCCCTTGTTCAACCTCATAAAAGCGGCGACCACGTCGTCAAATATTCACAAAAGATTCACTAATGGCTGTGAATTTAACTCCACTTGAAGGGCGATACTGACAGCCGAACAATTTACTAGCTTGACCATGCAATTTGGCCCTCGGGCTGTGGCAAGGAGCCGGAACCCCTTGGAGCAATTATTGTCGATCGTACCCACCCTCAGAGCTGTCACTTTCCAGGGTTCTAAACCCTTAGTGGAGCCATGGTGAGTGGTACTGCACAGGGGGCACACTGAACCTGTATGTTTATCATATGGTGTCACATCTCTTTCACCCACGGTGTCACATCTCTTTCACCCACGGTGTCACATCTCTTTCACCCACGGTGTCACATCTCTTTCACCCACGGTGTCACATCTCTTTCACCCACGGTGTCACATCTCTTTCACCCACGGTGTCATCTCTTTCACCCACGGTGTCACATCTCTTTCACCCACGGTGTCACATCTCTTTCACCCACGGTGTCACATCTCTTTCACCCACGGTGTCACACCCTCAAATACCACTACATAGCTACCACTACCAACTGCGTACCATCAACCATTCCTAACGAAACGCTTTAAGGTTACCAAGATCTCTCACCCAAATCTGTAGGTATCTTGCAGAGCTCTGAGTACGGAGCCCAACATGTCTTTGGTCGACTGGTACGTAATGCATTTGGCACCGTATTAAGGTGATGCCAGGAGGTCACTGGCACCGTATTAAGGTGATGCCAGGTCACTGGCACCGTATTAAGGTGATGCCAGGAGGTCACTGGCACCGTATTAAGGTGATGCCAGGAGGTCACTGGCACCGTATTAAAGTGATGCCAGGAGGTCACTGGCACCGTATTAAGGTGATGCCAGGAGGTCACTGGCACCGTATTAAGGTGATGCCAGGAGGTCACTGGCACCGTATTAAGGTGATGCCAGGAGGTCACTGGCACCGTATTAAGGTGATGCCAGGAGGTCACTGGCACCGTATTAAGGTGATGCCAGGAGGTCACTGGCACCGTATTAAGGTGATGCCAGGAGGTCACTGGCACCGTATTAAGGTGATGCCAGGAGGTCACTGGCACCGTATTAAGGTGATGCCAGGTCACTGGCACCGTATTAAGGTGATGCCAGGAGGTCACTGGCACCGTATTAAGGTGATGCCAGGTCACTGGCACCGTATTAAGGTGATGCCAGGAGGTCACTGGCACCGTATTAAGGTGATGCCAGGAGGTCACTGGCACCGTATTAAGGTGATGCCAGGAGGTCACTGGCACCGTATTAAGGTGATGCCAGGAGGTCACTGGCACCGTATTAAGGTGATGCCAGGAGGTCACTGGCACCGTATTAAGGTAATGCCAGGAGGTCACTGGCACCGTATTAAGGTGATGCCAGGAGGTCACTGGCACCGTATTAAGGTGATGCCAGGAGGTCACTGGCACCGTATTAAGGTGATGCCAGGAGGTCACTGGCACCGTATTAAGGTGATGCCAGGAGGTCACTGGCACCGTATTAAGGTGATGCCAGGTCACTGGCACCGTATTAAGGTGATGCCAGGAAGTCACTGGCACCGTATTAAGGTGATGCCAGGAAGTCACTGGCACCGTATTAAGGTGATGCCAGGAAGTCACTGGCACCATATTAAGGTGATGCCAAGTCACTGGCACCGTATTAAGGTGATGCCAAGTCACTGGCACCGTATTAAGGTGATGCCAGGAGGTCACTGGCACCGTATTAAGGTGATGCCAAGTCACTGGCACCGTATAAATACAAACATTAATCTAACCTTTGGAATATGCGAAACAATCTCGGCTCAATAACCCAACAGGAAAAATTAAACCGGAGAGGAACAACTCTGCGGCCCAAGTGTCTCATCTCTAGATTGAAAGAATAAATCTTAGTCCACAGGCCAGAAAAATAGCTGCACAGAGTGCCATTCAGCAGTGCTCTCTGGTTCGTCAAAGCACGCGCCGTCTCCACCACAAGGGGAGCCGGTCGGCCGAGTGGACAGCACGCTGGACTTGTGGTCCTGGGTTCGATCCCAGGCGCCGGCGAGAAACATTGGGCAGAGTTTCTTTCACCCTATGCCCCTGTTACCTAGCAGTAAAATAGGTACCTGGGTGTTAGTCAGCTGTCACGGGCTGCTTCCTGGGGGTGGAGGCCTGGTCGAGGACCGGGCCGCGGGGACACTAAAAAAAAGCCCAGAAATCATCTCAAGATAACCTCAAGAAGCTGAGGTTCAAAGGAGAAAGGTATGCTGTGATAACATTCCCTAGACCTTCAGTTCAAGGACTCGGCATTAACAGATCTTCAGTTTAGAAATCATATTACAAACGCCCTCATCATTTGACTCTTCACACACTGCCACGTCGTATAAAGAAATGCTTGTTGACTAGACCTCACACACTAGAAAGTGATGGAACAACGACGTTTCGGTCCGTCCTGGACCATTCTCAAGTCGATTGTACTTGAGAATGGTCCAAGATGGACCGAAACGTCGTCGTCCCTTCACTTTCTAGTGTGTATTTTGGTTAACAAAACTTACTTGACTTTTCCAGAATAAGGTTTGCTTATTGCCTTACCTGACTAACGATACATGTGGACTCAGCGCACTGAAACATGACAGACGACAGTCTAAAAAAACTAAGGCAAAGAGAGCTCATTTACCAATGACAATTTACAGGTGGATCAGTTACCACCTGTAAACAAATTGCACCTGCAATCCCAGCGAGGCCTTTCAACCTGTAATCCCAGAGAGGTCTTTCAACCTGATTTCACCTGTAATCCCAGCGAGGCCTTTCAACCTGATTTCACCTGTAATCCCAGCGAGGCCTTTCAACCTGATTTCACCTGTAATCCCAGCGAGGCCTTTCAACCTGATTTCACCTGTAATCCCAGCGAGGCCTTTCAACCTGATTTCATCTGTAATCCCAGCGAGGCCTTTCAACCTGATTTCACCTGTAATCCCAGCGAGGCCTTTCAACCTGATTTCACCTGTAATCCCAGCGAGGCCTTTCAACCTGATTTCACCTGTAATCCCAGCGAGGCCTTTCAACCTGATTTCACCTGTAATCCCAGCGAGGCCTTTCAACCTGATTTCACCTGTAATCCCAGCGAGGCCTTTCAACCTGATTTCACCTGTAATCCCAGCGAGCCCTTTCAACCTGATTTCACCTGTAATCCCAGCGAGGCCTTTCAACCTGATTTCACCTGTAATCCCAGCGAGGCCTTTCAACCTGATTTCACCTGTAATCCCAGCGAGGCCTTTCAACCTGATTTCACCTGTAATCCCAGCGAGGTCTTTCAACCTGATTTCACCTGTAATCCCAGAGAGGTCTTGTAATCTGTGCTTCACCTGTGACCCATCACACCTCACTAGCAATATGAATTACAACCCAATTGTAAACAGGAGCTAATAATCCTATAGACGTAAGTCTTAAACTTCTAGTTTATCTCCACCTCACAAATTCATCCATAAACATTGTAAAAATTCAGTAGTATTAATAACACTTATTAACTCAATATAAATAAGATATATGATGGTTCAAAATCATATTACGCTGTCGCCTTAAGACAGCATTTGTTGATGAATATTATGCACTTAATTACAAAAGAGGTAGTTAAAAGGCACTACGGGGCTCGCCATAGCCCGTGCTACTTGCAACATTTTGTTCCAAGTAGCGAATCTTTAACAACATACAAGATAGAAGTACAGGAATTAATGGCTTGAGTCATACCTGCATGCCATCGGCAGCCATCTTGTACCCCCCTTAGAGAAGGGTGGGTTGGATGGGGTCGTGCCCCCCCCTTAGTGAAGGGTGGGGGGGATGGGGTCGTGCCCCCCCTTAGTGAAGGGTGGGGGGGATGGGGTCGTGCCCCCCCTTTAGTAAAGGGTGGAGGGGGATGGGGTCGTGCCCCCCCCCTTAATAAAGGGTGGAGGGGGATGGGGGGTCGTAACCCCCCCCCCATTACACCAGGTGAGTGACACCAGGTGTAATTTGTCCCAAGGTGAGAAGACGATAATTGCACCTCGGGGCGGCAGTGGCACCCGGCACTCTCTCCCATAAGGGTCAAGTGAACCCCAGATGGTCTGAGGAGTTTCAGCCTTCGAGCAGGAGGCCTCAGAGCCACGGTGTCGCCCCTCAGAGCAGCGTGACGGTTGAGTGTCAGGTCATTATAGTGCTAAACACCTTCATTGTTAAGGGGTTATTGTCCTCTTCAACCTTCTACAACAACCTACTGGATCAATATATACAGAGTAACCTATCACATGAAAAACAAATAAGAGAGCCAAAAACATTATTATAATAATAAATAAATTATATATATATATATATATATATATATATATATATATATATATATATATATATATATATATATATATATAATGCATTTGACAGGCAGGCCCCCTAGCCAGGGTCAGGCAGACCCCCCCTAGCCAGGGACAGGCAGGCCCCCCTAGCCAGGGTCAGGCAGACCCCCCCTAGCCAGGGACAGGCAGGCCCCCCTAGCCTGGGTCAGGCAGACCCCCCCTAGCCAGGGACAGGCAGGCCCCCCTAGCCAGGGACAGGCAGGCCCCCCTAGCCTGGGTCAGGCAGACCCCCCCTAGCCAGGGACAGGCAGGCCCCCCTAGCCAGGGACAGGCAGGCCCCCCTAGCCAGGGACAGGCAGGCCCCCCCAGCCAGCGACAGGCAGGCCCCCCTAGCCAGGGACAGGCAGGCCCCCCTAGCCAGGGACAGGCAGGCCCCCCTAGCCAGGGTCAGGCAGGCCCCCCCAGCCAGCGACAGGCAGGCCCCCCTAGCCAGGGACAGGCAGGCCCCCCTAGCCAGGGACAGGCAGGCCCCCCGAGCCAGGGACAGGCAGGCCCCCCTAGCCAGGGACAGGCAGGCCCCCCTAGCCAGGGACAGGCAGGCCCCCCTAGCCAGGGACAGGCAGGCCCCCCGAGCCTGGGTCAGGCAGACCCCCCCTAGCCAGGGACAGGCAGGCCCCCCTAGCCAGGGACAGGCAGGCCCCCCTAGCCAGGGAGGCTATGGCCTGCCTGTCACGTGTTGTAAAACTAAGACATCCTCCTGCGGTACGTCAAAACCCCGTCGTACTAAAGCGCCCTTATCCTAACCCACCAGAGGACCCAAAACAGAAAACGGGCCAGTACGTCACTTTCGCCAGCCGCTCCCATTTTCCAGTACGACGATTTTTGGCCTTAAGTGGAGTATACGTCACAAATGCGACGTGTTATTAGGATGACGAGTTGCTCGTCACATTCCTCCCAACATATCTTTGCGACACTTCTCCGTTTCAGACTAGGCCTATAACGGTCCCCTTATAGGCCTCCCAGGACACATTTCCCTAACTGCCGGATACCTCATTTACTGCAGGAGGAGGGGGGGGGGGGTAACTCTTGTTAACTAAGGAATAGCTAAGTGATTCCATTCTGTTTTCTTCATTGAATATTGGAACTACATATGGATTGAACTACAATCTGAACTACATTGAACTACAATGTTCAATCTGAACTATTCAACTACATTGAACTACATCTTGTTTTATAGTTTTTTTTTAGTCTCTAAGAAATAAATAGAACCCATTTTTTGTATATTCGGACGCGAAGCGGAAGGGTAGATTTGATTTTCAATAATCCTGGATATTTTAACCCCGAGCCAATTGTGGGTGGGTGACGAGTCTTGTGGGTGACAGTCTTGGTGGGTGGGTGGGTGACAGTCTTGGTGGGTGGGTGACAGTCTTGGTGGGTGAGTGGGTGACAGTCTTGGTGGGTGGGTGGATGACAGTCTTGGTGGGTGAGTCTTGGTGCGTGAGTGGGTGACTCGTGCTGGCGGCTGGGGTGACAGTGGTGGCGTGTGGGTGGTGGAGTGACCAACCCCCCACCACCCCCCTCTCACACCCGCACCATACATAACTGCCCCTCCAAATTACCATCACTCACACCTACTCACACCTCCTTTGTTAACACGTCTCACTCATTCAGCTCACTCGCTCGCTTGTCCTCGTGCACGCACACACGCACGCACATTAAATAAAATATAATGAAACCGAAAGGAGTAGAGAGACCACGAAAGCACTACCACAATAGGACTCTGTAGCCAAACAAACCCATATAGGGAGCATGATTAACATATACAACACTCTTAGTCTGTCTCCTATCCTTCGTCTATTCTCCTATCCAATCCACCACCAGTTGAGGGATTAGGCCAATCATGGGTGTAGAAACTGTTACCATCGAATAATAACCCCCCCCCCAGGCTAACGACCATTCCCCCCCCCTACCATAGACCATTCAACCCATCCCTTCATCTAAGACAGTCTCCTTTTATACTGTATGGTCCCCAAAGTACAAATTTCAAAGTACTGTATTATGAAACGTAGCTACACACAAATCGCCACGTCGGCCTCTTAGGTTAGGTTAGGTTAGGTTAGGTAGGTTAGGTTAGGTAGGTTAGGTTAGATAGGTTAGGTTAGATAGGTTAGGTTAGGTAGGTTAGGTAGGTTAGGTTAGATAGGTTAGGTTAGATAGGTTAGGTTAGATAGGTTAGGTTAGATAGGTTAGGTTAGATAGGTTAGGTTAGGTAGGTAAGGTTAGGTAGGTTTGGTTAGGTAGGTTAGGTTAGGTTAGGTTAGGTTAGGTAGGTTAGGTAGGTTAGGTTAGGTAGGTTAGGTTAGGTAGGTTAAGTAGGTTAGGTTAGATAGGTTAGGTAGGTTAGATAGGTTAGGTAGGTTAGGTTAGGCTAGGAGGGTTAGGTGGTTGGATTCGTACCTTTATGGTTAGGTCTGCCCCCCCCCCTCCCCCCTCGGCAACCCTCCA